TAAGTGACTTCAGCATCCGAATTGATATAATCACTGATATGCTTTAGACCAAAAAACCTATAAAGAATGTTATTGAATACTGAGAATACATTGTTTTTTTTTACATTACGGAGCTTTATTTCTACCTGAAAGTATTTTGGAACATATCTCTTGCTTAAATATTTTATGCAATGTTACTTTCCAAAACTTTCCAAGAACAATTAGTCCATCCTATACTTTCACATGTTATTCTCCATTTCGTTTTCAAAAATTGTGGGAGCTTTAAACTCTATAAGAACTTAATACCAATTATACCATGCACCCTCTTTGCCATCTGTCGCTTTTTTCTTAGGATGGCCAGACATAATTCAAATTGAAGAGTAAAGTCAGTTAAAGTGATATATAGCTGTATATAACAAATTATACCACTCTAAGTCCAATTACAGTTGTATAACATGGGTCTATAACAACGATATACAGTGGAGAGTGGTATATCGTCATCGTATACAACTCCTCCGTATACACTCCAGCGTATACCACTGTAGAAGTGCATTCTGGGAACTAATGAATAAAAAAAATCATGAAAATTTTCATGATTTCCTAGAATCAAGTGACGTCATAAATGGTTCCGGCATGATTTGCTAGAATCAAGCCACGTCTTAAATTGTTCGAGATCAACATCAGCATCATTGAGTTGGCTATGGGATATTTTTATGGTTTTTATATTGATTGTTATGATTGTGTTCGAATCAACTGTAATTGAACTAAGCGTGGCATAATAAGATTATATAATGGTTCATTCTGTATATCGTGAATTTTATACTCTCGTGAGAATATAATATATTCACTCGTTCGCTACGCTCACTTGTGAATATATCATATACTCACTCGAGTATAAACACGATATACAGAAAGAACCATTATATAACCTCATAGTATCTTTCACTTGATACTGTGATGGCATTCAAACAGTGTATTTTGTCCCAAGATACAATAAAGTACTGATATCATTTATTTATCAATTCAGATGCCTTGGAATTAAAGTAAATACTTGGTATATATTACCAATATTATTTTTACTTATTATTGGTGGTACAATGACCAGTTTCCTTTAATGTCTTTGGTCTTACGGTGCAGTTTGTAAAAAGAAAATCCAGAAAGTTGCAGTCTTAGATGAAAAACTGAAGTTTGTTCAATCAGAGACTCTGAGTCCCTAGTTGAAAATATCTTTCTTTGGGGACTCATCTGATCGTTCTCAGAACTGTCACTACAAAACACCAAATATTCTTCTTTTTGGCATTGAATGTATTATGCTTTCAATCAATTATATCAACATCAACATATTTACAATAAATCATAATTTACACATTTATCTTTATGAAAAGAATACGCAATATCCGTGTTACAGTGTAAAGTTAGTTCTGACACTGTGGCTAGTCGATCAAGGAATCTGGAGGCTCGTTCAGCTGAGCTGACAAAATCATCAAGATTTACAGATGGTCCATCTGTTGGCTGCTCATTGTCACCTTCAAGGAATGGCTCTGAAACTGGTAGCCTTGCCCAAGTCGGTATTTATTTACTTATCTGATCTTGAATTATTACCACCTTGTACAATCCAATGTATCATCGCTGATATTATGCTAAGTTATTCAGCGGTTCCGAGATTCCCATAATACCTAGGCTACCTAAGGGTATCGCAAATACCATATTGATTGACAATATGGACATGGACACAACATGTGACTTCAAGGCTGATTGACCAAAAACGTTGATCAAAACGTTATCAGGTTGACCTGCATAAAAAAAGCAAACTACCCGTCTAGGACTTGAAATTCAATGATCTGATCGAGTGTTTCTTGAGAGTAAATGAAATCTTGCAATTCAATGTTGATTCAAAATCAAAACTGAATTCGCGATGGAAATGCACGAAGACCTAGTCCGGCAATGTAGGACCGTCGTTGATTTGTCAAATTTTACCGACAAAAACATTGGGTCGGTAAAGCACATGGCTTTCTCTTGGGTACAAGGTGGTCATAATAGAAATCAAGATAAGTAAAATATACCGACTTTGGCAAGGCTATGAAACTTGATTTGTGGGTATTCCAATGGGTCGATGGGTCTTTTGCTTTGAATTCACTTCATTAGCGTACCTAATTTCAACATTTTCATTGTCATCATTACATGTTATGGACCCGTTTTTCAAATTAACAGTATCAGCGATAAAACCATAGTTTTTGGCTCACACAGTGAGACTATGGGATCGACCAGGCGTCCGTCCGTTGGTCCGTCCGTCTGTCCGTCCATCCGTTGGTCCGTCCGTCTGTCAACATTGGCTGCACAAATTAAAACTGCTATTCGGATTGAGTCATTTCCACATTCATTTTATGCATATCCATAATGTCTATTTGACCTATCATCGCCATTTCCCAAGTTCGCCGGTTTCCGAGAAATTGCTGATTTTTAAATTTCGAGAAAAATCGATCTGATGATAGCCTTATAGAAAGTCAAGAGAAGTGAAGAAAAGATTGAAAAAATACCAGTCCAGTCCATTTCCAAGTCCAAGTCCAGGTCCAGGTCCAAGTCAAGGTCCAGTTCAGGTCCAAGTCCAGATCTAGGGAAATCAGGTTTAAACCAGGTCAAAGGTCAAGAACTAGGTCAAATCCAGTACTGTGTCATTTTTCTCAATTTTCTCAGTCGTCCTTGAATATTTTTGCTCTGTTTTTTTAATCATGTTCCTTGGAAAAAGCTAATCCCTACAGGCAAGTTGTTTTTGATCACTCTTACCGTTTTTGAGATATGGCATCCGAAAAGTAGGTCACAATAAAAAGTTCTTGGGAATTCAATGTATAAGTTATGAAATATGTGTAAAATTGTCCAAGGAATCCGAATCTGCAAACTAGATTTTGATCCGACTTCCGGTTCGGAAGTTATGGCATTTTGAAATCTCAAAAATCGCTATTTTGGTATCCCATGTTAAGTCAATGGGGCTTGAGAAAATTATCAATTGTAACAACACAACACTAGATACAGTTTGGATGCAGCCAACTTAATAAGAATCTACAATAGAAGCCGTCCCTCAAAATCTACTTTCCTTCAAAATTTGAACACTAAAAGGCCTAGGTCAAAATCTAGGTCAAATTCATAGTTTTTCTTTTGACTACAACAAATCATCTGAACCAACAACAAAGGACTCATCTTTAATTGATCTCATATTTACCAATACTTTTGTTTGTAAATTAGGATATACATTCCTCTGTAGGTTCTACACTGTGTGAGCACAGGACCGTGGGTCCTTTATTTCATCTGTAATGGCATTTTCCAGTTGATGGGTTTATATATAGTATTTTCAATTTTTCATGAGGATGCCTTTAGACTACTTGTAATGGGGTGGCTAATTACTTTACTGAATGAGGAATGTTTATCCAAACAATGGATACAAAGAAAATCTGGCCAGTTGTCCATCAGTAAATAAATCATCATGATAAAAGTATAATTTATTAAAGCATCCATTTGTTACCGTTCTGAATCCAAATGATACATAGGTGCATCCATTTTATACATATATGTTGACGTTTACGAAATGTTTTTCAAATATCTTCCCTATAACAGGAATATGGTAGCTGAAACTTTCACACATTGTCATACTATGTATATTGAATATGTGTGCAAGATTTCAAGTCACAATGTTAAGTAGAAACTCTGAGATCACTTACCTCGATTTGCTGTCATATTTTTGCAATGATCCCATTCCCTATAATGTACGCGAGTACCCACGATACATTACATATAAATGACTGCATCCACATAGATCGACTTAGTCACAGTGTCTGAAGCATTTGGTTCAAATATTTAAACAGTTCTCGTTTTTTCACAAACAAGTAAGTCGCTCATATTTCTTATGCATAGCAGCCCATGTCAATCAACAACATGAATGACAACCCTTATTGCCATATATGGACCAGAAAATTTTGAATAAATCGTAACATATTGACCCGGGATATGCACACAGTGTTAACATTAACGAGCGAACCGGCGGTCAGGGACCAGTTGATTGTCCTCCGGTCCGGCAAAAGTTGCACAGGTGCTGGACCTTTGGACCAGCTTGTTTTTATGATACCTACATACCTCTAGAATATGTGTCCGCAGGTTTACTCTATTGTTTGTGGTCGTCTTGATCGATATTTACCTTGACACGAGCGTATTCAGCAGATATCTGGTTCATTTTTCAAAACTTCCTTTTTCACGGAGGAAGTAGAACATTTAATTCTCGCTAGAATCGATTCGCTAAACCGAGTATTACATACAATTACCGAACGCCTAGGTTTTGTATGGGCTTTTCTTATGATGAGTTTTCAAACAGTGACATGGGTTCAGAGGAAGAGTTAAATTTGGCTGTTGAAGACCTTTAAAAACTGAAAGAGGTTGTACCTCTGATATCACTGTTTGAGGGGGAGGGTTCGCTAAACATGTACCGTTTGAGTACAAAAAATAAACTAACTATGTTTATTCTCAGATTTTGATTTTCTCAGTGTTACAATTATAAATCCTACAATAGAGATGTTGAAACAGTGTTAAGTGCTTAAAACAATCATGAATTTATTGACCAGTGAGACTTTATACGAACCAGCACCTTTTTTGAAATGCTGGTCATTTTGACCAGCACATCCTGTTACGGACCACCTAATTTTGATGGGGAACAGGTCCGTTTGACCAGGCTGTTTTTGCTCCTTAATGACAACACTGTATGCACAACAGATTTTCAAAGCTAGTTTCGTGTGTAACTCAAAGCACAAGAGCAATGAAAATAAAATGTAAAAATATTTTATTTTTCTGACATTTTCCACTTTTGGTTTGGTATTTAGTGAATTAGGTGCATAGAGAGTTTAAGAGTGGTGCAAACTTTGAGGTAGGGTGCTGCACCACGCCATGAAAGAAGATGGTGGGGAGATCATAGTAGATGATTATTCAAAACACTATATTATTACAGTGTGCATATATAATTGTGAATTTCTCTTCTGCAGTCAACCAGGAGTGGAACAAACAGGTGAATAATGGTATTGCTCCAGTCAATGTAACCAGGTATTACAACCACCTCTCCAACCTGCCAAAGTTTCTTAAGGTCACCAAAAGTCTCCCCAAAGTGGAAATGAAAAGTCAAGAGGTAAGAGTAATAAATAGAACTTCTTCATAAAAAGTTAATTTCCTGCGACATTTAATTCTCCGATTTCCGAATAATGTTTAGTGTAGAGAAATTGAATATTGGAAAGATAACATCTTAAAATCAATTAACATTGTGAATGGAAACCTTCATAAATGACATGTATTACTAAATCGATCATCGAAATATATTAATTGATCAATAATCAATTCTAAGATACGTAATTGTTCGTATCTGACACAAACTTAATTTCTCGACAATTTTCTAGTTGCCAATAATTCATTGGTTTTACTTTCACTCACTGCTTCTCAAGTCTTCCTTGCAGATATCTGTTCATTCATATTCAAGTATCAAGTAATTATATGGATTTCAATGTTTGAGACAATGTCTTACGTGAAATGTGAAAGAATGTGATTTTATTTCCTGGTTCAGTTTTTTCACAAGAAGGTATAATTATTGGTTACATTTTCGGGCCTTTTTTCCTCTGAGTATCCAAATGAGCTGCAGTAGATAAATAGTATAGCGGTGACGGTAAGAATATGATAATTATCCCATCGAACGAAGTTCGGAGGGATATAGGGAACGCCTCCATCCATCCGTCCGTCCGGGCAATAACTCAAATACCGTTGGCCCGATTTATACATATTTTGTACACATTTATCCTATGGGAGTAGAAGTTCTGCTCAAAAGCTGATTTTCAAAATGGCCACTCATTTAAAAATGGCAGCCATTTTAGTGCCGATTTAACAGTAGTTTAGGTGCAATATGTATGTGATTGCATTTGGTATGTGAATACTATAAGCATGGTTCACTGTCTAATGACACTTTTGGTAGAAGGTGAAAAAATGGCCCCCATTTTAACATATTTTACTATAACTCGAAAAGTAATGGAGTGATTTTGTTCATATTTGGTATGTGAATATTATAAGCATGGCACACTGTCTAATGACACTTTTGGTAGAAGGCGGCCATTTTTCATTTTAATGTATTTTACTATAACTCGAAAAGTAGTGGAGCGATTTTGTTCATATTTGGTATGTGAATACTATAAGCATGTCACACTGTCTAATGACACTTTTGGTAGAAGGTGGCAATTTTGAAAAATGGCCGCCATTTTAATGTATTTTACTATAACTCGAAAAGTAGTGGAGCAATTTTGTTCATATTTGGTATGTGAATACTATAAGCATGGCACACTGTCTACTGACACTTTTGGTAGAAGGTGGCCATTTTGAAAAATGGCCGCCATTTTAATGTATTTTACTATAACTCGAAAAGTAGTGGAGTGATTTTGTTCATATTTGGTATGTGAATACTATAAGCATGGCACACTGTCTACTGACACTTTTGGTAGAAAGTGGCCATTTTGAAAAATGGCCGCCATTTTAACGTATTTTACTTAACTCGAAAAGTAGTGGAGTGATTTTGTTCATATTTGGTATGTGAATACTATAAGCATGGCAAACTGTCTAATGACACTTTTGGTAGAAGGTGGTCATTTTGAAAAATGGTTGCCATTTTAATGTATTTTACTATAACTCGAAAAGTAGTGGAGCGATTTTGTTCATATTTGGTATGTGAATACTATAAGCATGGCACACTGTCTACTGACACTTTTGGTAGAAAGTGGCCATTTTGAAAAATGGCTTCTATTTTTCAAATGGGATGGGATTTGCTACGCTTTGGCGTTGCTGTTGTCTAGTTAATCTTGCTAATACAGGGTGGTCAAAAAAATGGAAACCCTGCATTTTCCTTATATCTTTGTCACTTTAAAAAAATACTTTCTGATATTTCACACATTTGTACGTCATTCAATTTCCTACCACCCTACGATATTTCATGACCATCAGACTGATAATCACAATTTTACAGCACTTTGAATAACATGCTTCAGATTTGGCCACCATGGCGCTGTGGGCAAAACAGCACATTTGTCAATGAACCGAATGCATTCCTCAGCAGGTTTGGCCTGAATGACACAAATTATCTCACTTTTGAGGTTTGCAACTGTCCCGAGGTCATTCTCATATACTCCATCTCTGCCATATCCCCACAGGTAGGGACATTTTAGAAGATGAGTACAGGTTTCCTGACAGGGAAATAGTGGCCACTGGGGCATGTTCTTTAAAGTACTGTAACATTTTTACTATCAATCTGATGGTCATGAAATAATATAGGTTGAATGATGTACAAAAGTGCAAAGTATTAGGGAGTTATTTCTTAAAATGACAAAGATATGAGAAATATGGTATTAGGGTTTTCATTTTTTTACCACCTTGTACATTTATTTTGTTGTAATCCCTCTGAGGTTTACAAAAAGTTATATTACATTGTTAATTATCCCAACGAACAAAGTTCTGTAGGGATATAGTGAAGCCCTCCATCCGTGTTTAATTAATTTTATCTGATGTGGAAATCAGATTTTACCAGAAGGGGGCATATTGTATGGTTCAAATTTTAAGAGTGTTACTTTCGTTAACATTCCTTATATGGAAAAGAGGCGGTCTTAACATTCTTTTGAATCTGGTTAAGATAGCATCTTTTCAGTATAGAATCACTTTTCGGATATATTTGGTTTAGGCAACATTAACATCTCATTTAGATATAAACTTCAAAACTACGTAACTTTCTATCAAAATTCTAAATTATATAAAAACCATCAACATAGTTGAGAATCAGGATTCAATCAACATAATTATTGTCGTAGAATAGGATTAATCCTGAACATTAAATAAACATGGAACACAACTTCTTGTTTTATGTTGAATCATTTATACATAACAACAGTCTAATATAACATACTCCTGAACTAAAACTGAACAAGGAAAATGCAAATAACGATGAAGCAACATTTCTCGACATGAAACTCACAATAGAACACAAGAAAATTACTACACAAATATATGATAAGAGAGAGGATTTTGATTTCAATATAGTTTCCTATCCAGACCTTTCGGGAAACATTCCAAGAAAACAATCATATGGAGTCTATGTGTCACAGATAATAAGAATATCAAGAGTATGCAGTGATGAAAAAATAGCTTCCAAAAGAATCAAGTCCTTGGGGAAAAAATTAGTATCTCAAGGATATAAGAAAGAAACACTGTCAGCATATATCAAAAAGACAATTGCTAAAAATGAATGGATACAGATAAAATACAAAAAGCCAAAAAATCAAATATTAAAGATATGGTCAGGGTTCTAAGACTAATAAGGAAATGAGAAAAACAACAAGAACGGACAGAATCTAGATATCAGTCTCCGAAACATCGATAAAGACAAAGGGGAAGGGGAGTGTTACTGGTAGAAAAAGCTTTAACCCACCGACGTGTAGTCACAAGTCTGCAGACCCGACACCAAACAAGACCAAAGAAGAAAAGTAATAGGGAGACAGAAGACCAAAGAAAGAAGAAACTAAAGAAAACAAGAAAGTAACAACAACAGAAAAAAGAAGAAGAAACTAAGAAGACAAAAAGTGAAAGGAAAAGACAAATAAAATCAGAATAAGAAGGAATCAACAGCAACAACTAATAGATTTTCAAGCTGGACTGAATGATGATGACATGAACAGCATATAAACAAGACGTTTATAAATATTATTATTATTATTATTTGAAATTTTGGTAGTATATTAACAACATCTATCTATTTCACATATCTCCCGGTTTTTTTCACCCTGACCCCCAGGGGCTGTAAATGGGGGATCGGGAAAACAGGAATTAGCGTTATTTTTGAGATGTTTTTGAAGTATAGCTTTAGTATACTCAAATGAAAGGCAATTTAGAGTAGATTTCAAATATTTTAATGTTTTTCTGGTTCGGGCCTCAAAAAATACAAAATGGCCGCCTAATGCAGGATTACGCAATTATTTTCTGATCTCTTAAAAGTATGGCTATATTATACTCAAATTGAAGGAATTTCAGAGTAGATCACAATTATGTTGTTACATTGTTTTTCTGATTTGCGCCTCTGAAAATTCAAAATGGCTGACTAGAGCAGAAATTTGTTATTACTTAGAGTTATCTTGAAAGTATGGTTACATGATACTACAATGATTTAAAATATTTATTGAAGGTAAGAGTAGATGGTAAATATTACATTGTGACTGTTCAGATTGATGATTTATACAGTGTTTGTTGGGATTTGCTACTCAATAGAGTTGCCATTCTCTAGTTATTTCTTAATTATCTAAATTTTGATTCCATAAGATGTCTTAAATTAAATAACAGTGACAACTTGATGAATTATCCTTGAGCTTAACTGTTTTTTGAATATTATAACAACTTTCTATTCAAAGTATCATGCAAAATGCTAAATTTTCAGAAATGAATGACTTAAATTACTCATCATAAAAATTAAATTAGACATTGCACAAATGAATAGGGTTGAGTTTTACTGGGGTTGAGTTTTACAGGGTTGAGTTAACTTGGGGTTGAGTTTTACTAGGGTTGACTTGGCTTGGGGCTGACTTGACTTGGGGTTGAGTTGGACTGGGTTGAGATGACTTGAGGTTGAGATGACCTGTCACCATTTGCATCTAGTCATTATGTAATGCAAAATCTAGTAAAACATGAAATTATGTCTTTGTATTGTAGTCTGTCAAGCAGAAAGATGAGGGCAAGTTTGTGGATCTACCAGGAGCTAAACAGGGGGAGGTTGTTGTAAGGTTCCCTCCAGAAGCTAGTGGGTAAGTTGAACTTGATTTACACTCATATCAGAATTATAATGTCACCATCACATGGATGGTGTTTGGCCAGTGTCTGTAACAAATGGCATGTGGTGACATTTTGCATACAAATGACTTGTTATTGATTGTTGTCAAATGATCTGTAGTAGTTATCCCAATAAATGAAGTTCAGTAGGGATATAGGGAAGGCCTCTGTCCATCTGTCAGTCAGTCTATATAATTCAAATACTGATATTGTTCTATATTAAGTACCCTATATTAGATCTCAAATATTGTATTGTCTTAATGATTTGTGCCTTTGGAACTTCTAAATGGTCACCCAATTGCTAAAATCGGTGAAAATTATGATATATCTCTAATGACTATTGTATGTCTTTTACCACTGCCAATTTAATCAAGGGTAGAGCAGAAGATGAGAAATATTACATTGTGACATTATACAAATTTATGAATATAGTGTTTGTTGGGATTTGGTACTTCACGGAGTTGCCGTTTTCTAGCCATGTCAGCACCAAAAGTGGTGACATATTGTTATGGTCTCCATTTTTGTGACAGCGGTTAGTATCCGTTGTTCAGCATCTGTAACAATTTGCAGGTGGTGACATTTTGCATGTTAATGCCTTGTTTTGCATAATGCCAATGGAAGAATTAGGTATAACCAGATTAAATAGGTTAATATGTTCTGTAGTCATGAACAAATGATACAGATAATATTCTATTTCCAATTGTCATGACTCAGTGAAGGGCATTACCATATAAAACAAGTCTTCCAGGCTTTTACAATACAATATCAGTGCTTGCAAATAGTATTACGAGGCTTGAAAACAATCCATGACACATGTATTTTAATGAGGTGAAATACTTTAACTGTAATATTATGTACAATATAGGTACCTCCACATTGGTCATGCTAAAGCTGCTCTCCTGAATGCCCACTACCAGAAAATGTTTGATGGCAAACTGATTATGAGGTTTGATGACACCAATCCTGCTAAGGAGAATGAACATTTTGAAAAGGTGATTGTTTTATGCTCTTTTGTCAATTATTATAATGTCACATTCACACCACATCATTGCATGTTATGTGTAAATGCCATTTAATGTGAGCTCACATTCACACCACATCATCACATGTGAAGTGTAAATGCCATATAAGGCAAGGCCACATCATAGCATGTGATGTGTAATTGTGTCACCACAAAAAAGTGGTGACATATTGTTATGGGGTCCATGTTTTGCGACGGCGATCGGCGGATGGCAGTTGTTGGTTGGCAGCTGGTGATCGGTGTCTGTAACAATTTCTTACAACTTCCAATAACTTGACAAATACTGTATAGACTGACTTCATTTTTTTCAAAATCATCTACAAGTTTTCAGAAGTTCAAGTCTGACTCTAGAATTACTTGGAATGAACAAGTTGTTGAGGATGACTATGTATCAAAAAGAACCTAACTAAAACATTGCCACAAAATTATAAGGAGAAATTGAAATGTGATTTACAATTATACCCAGTTTTAAGAACCTACATTAAATTCAAAACAACTTTTGAAAGAGAACAATATTTAAGCCTTCAAAGCAAAAGTCACAGGCAATCATTGTTTGACAACATCACTAGCAAAGTTTATGTTGATCAACATGATCCTGAAAATACATTCATTATGTTAATTTCTTCAAAAGATAAATATGTGCAAGAGCAAGTTTGAAGTTTTATTACAAAATCATTCAAAAATTCATAAATTGTATATATTATGATAGCTTAGACTTAGTCTAGTGTTGTGTAGTGTAGTTTTGTACAATAAATTCATTTTGTAATGACTAATATGTCAGGTCATGACATCTAAAGAGTCAATAAAAGATATATATATATTAAGATTTGACCTTCGAGGATCTTTTCAGGGTCAAAAAAGGTTAAAAAAGGTCTTTTTTAATTTGCTGCAAATTGATTAATTTTTTTAAAAATCATCTACAAGTTCTAAAAAGTTCAAATCTGAATAAAGATTGTGAGGTCACATTCACACCACATTTTCGCATGTTAAGTGTAAATGTCATATAAGACGAGGCCACATTAAAGCCACATCATAGCATGTGATGTGTAATTGCCATATAATGTGAGTCACATTCACACCACATCATCGCATGTGAAGTGTAATTGCCATATAATGTGAGTCACATTCACACCACATCATCGCATGTGAAGTGTAAATGCCATATAAGACGAGGCTACATTCTCGCCACATCTTCGCATGTAATTTGTAAATACCATATAAGGTGAGGAATGGAGCTTTGAAATCTTCTTTTCTGCCACATCCCTTCAGTAAGCATTTTTGATTCGAAGACTAAGAAGAACTTAACATTAAAAAAAAGAATATCTGTTATAAGGATATTAACCAAATTCACCTTTCCATAAAGTCAGCTCATGAATATTATAATGAGCCGCTTAAAAATCTGTGACGTCAATGAGAGAAACTTTTTCCCGCAAAAAACAAATGCAATTGAGTTTACATGTAAATCCTCGGTTGATTGCTGTAAGTTTTACCTCTTCAAATGTGCAAATTATCAGTAAATTATTGACGGATTTTTATTTACCTATTTATCTAAGCGATTTAAATATTAAATTTCTGTTCATAATGAGTAAGTAAATTGAAGAAAATTACTCATAATCATTGGTTCACCAACCAACATTATAACATGTCTCTCATACATAAAAAATATATAGATAGACAATCTATTTTAAGTTAATCTTCAGTGTCATTCGATGAATGACCTGTTCAAATTAAAAACATTTGCTCTTATTCATTTAATCATTGACTTCACTACTCCCATAATTCAATCAACTAACTAAACACGATTACTTCCTATTTATTTCTGCAAGTCATATAAGATCGTATCTTAAAAATATTATACATGAAAACATTGGGATATAGAATTGATATATTCCAATGTATATTTCCCGCTGCGTATCTTCCGTTCCAAATATTCCCGGTAAAATGTTTTTTATTCAGTGTAAAAACAGTCAATTTGTTAGAATATCTTGCTAAAGCAAAACTGTCAAAATAGATCCAGCAGACTGTAGAATTTTTCTTAACCAAAATGATGATGGATTTCTCGAAAATAATGAGAACGCTTAGAAAACAAACCTGAATATGCAGGGTGTCCTGAAAACTTCACTTGTGAAACCTCACTTGTCATAGGATAAATTAGTTATGTGATGATCGGTTTTAAAAAATGATCAATGGAAAGATTTTAAAAAAAGAATGTATATCACATAATATTTATTGATGATGACATTGCTGATCGTTATTGACATCGCTGATGGCGAATTAATACCAAAAGGTAACGATATCGTATATGTACTATGAACAAATTTCATTTGGTAAATAATAAAGTAATGGTTTAAGTCTAGCTTTTTGGATAAATTTTGCTTCGAAGTTATCTTTTTAATAGCCAATGGGCGTTCTCCAAGTTTGGAGGATGAAATGAAGGCTATTTAATTAGGCCCAGTTGCGTTTAGCGAGAAACCCGTTGTACATTTTACTGAAATGGCAACTGGAAAAAGTTCCAATTAAAAGAAAGTTAGTTTAGTCATGGGCTTTCATGATCTTGAAAGCCCATGGTTTTAGTAACCATAACATATTCATGCTTTTGAAAATATTTTGTTAATGTGTATTATGGAGATGGGATCGATCCTAAATAACAAAATGTCAAACAAATCGTCTTTCAATTCGATTGGTTTCGTTTGCGCGAATGTCACTCATGGTGAATTTCTGATGGAACTTCTTACTACGACATATAACCATTTAACAGGATATTGTATGACCACTATCAGATAATTTAACTGAGTTATTTGTAACTTCAGGTTTTACATTTTTTGTTTACAATCGCACGAGATATGTGAGCCCGGTATGTGAAGCTGATCTCAGAAGTCTTAATAAGTAATAGTTCTGTCAAAAAATGATTAATTTAAATAACATTAGGTTCGGAATGAAAGTGCCCCGTCCATATTTCATATTTGATTAAAAATAATTAGTGCTTTTGGCAAATGGAATCCTTTTTGTTGTAGTTTATTCAAAATATTCCTATGCTGGCTAATTATCCCATCGAACGAAGTTCGGAGGGATATAGGGAACGCCTCCGTCCGTCCGTCCGTCCGTCCATCCGTACGTACGTCTGTATGTACGTCCGTCCGTCCATCCGTCTGTCTGTCCGTCCGTCCATCTGGGCAATAACTCAAATACCGTTGGCCCGATTTTGTTCATATTTTGTACACATATACCCTATGGGGTAGAAGTTCTGCTCAAAAGCCGATTTTCAAAATGGCTGCTCATTTAAAAATGGCGGCCATTTTAGTGCCGATTTTACAGTAATTTAGGTGCAATATGTAAAACTGTAATAGCAATATGTTTTAAATGTAAAAAAATTATATAGGACATTGATAAGCTAAAAATATAGATATTAAAGAAGCACATGGCAGCCATCTTGAAAAATGGCAGCCTTTACTCGTTATTTTACGATTTTTGCTGTAACTCAAGAAGTAGTGGAGCGATTTTGTTCATATTTAGTATGTGAATACTATAAGCATGGCTCACTGTCAAATGACACTTTTGGTAGGAGGCGACCATTTTGAAAAATGGCCGCCATTTTAACATATTTTACTATAACTCAAAAAGTAGTAGAGCGATTTTGTTCATATTTGGTTTGTGAATACTATAAGCATGGTACACTGTCTAATGACACTTTTGGTAGAAGGCGGCCATTTTGAAACATGGTCGCCATTTTAACGTATTTTACTATAACTCGAAAGTAGTGGAGAGATTTTGTTCATATTTGCTATGTGAATGACATAAGCATGGCACACTGTCTAATGACACTTTTGGTAGAAATTGGCGATTTTGAAAAATGGCCGCCATTTTAACGTATTTTACTATAACTCGAAAAGGTGGTGGAGCGATTTTGTTCATATTTGGTATGTGAATACTATAAAGAAAAAGCATATTACTTCTTCTGATGACAACTTGGCCAGTGAGCATCAGTTTTGAAAATGGTGGCCTTTCTTATGTGTGTTATTTTATTATACATGTATTTGCTATATATTTAGTTTGTAAAAATGCCAGCCATTTCTGTTCGATGGGATTCGCTACGCTTTGGCGTTGCCGTTGTTCTGGTTCTTCAAAATTTTCAGTCATTGACGTCATTGATTTGACTCATTTGCATACAACCAATCAGCGCGCCGGAAATTATCAATTTTCTTGACTTTGTGGAAAGGTGAATAGCAATGAACTTTATATTGAATGAAGACATTGAGTGTTTATATTTGAGAAATTAATGAACCATTACAAGATGACAAGGCTACTAAATAATTTCAGGTGATACTTGAAGATGTTGCCATGCTTGGTATCAAGTATGACAAGTTCTCATATACATCTGACTACTTTGATGACATGCTGAACATGTGTGAGAAGTTCATTAAAATGGGTAAAGCATATGTGGATGATACTCCAGGGGAAACGATGAAAGAAATGAGAGAGGCAAGGGAGGAATCTGTGAATAGAAGCAATTGTAAGTAAGACATACTGTAAAAGATACTATGGATAGGACATGTAGCCTAATGTACGAGGAGTGATCAATAAGTAATGGACACTTTTTTACACAGATACTTTTTATCGACGAATCCCTTTGATTTTCTTACCAGTGATAGTTCATTCAATTATCTATCAATTCTGAAGATTTGAAGACAAAATATGTATTGAATGTTAATATATCCTTATTTATGTGAACGAGATAAAGGTACCCCAGGACTGACATTTTCGTCACATATTTAGTTTTTAGCCAGTTTGGCATATTTCAGTTAAATTTGAACTTTTTGATATGCAACGACTGTTGTTTGAAATATTTTGCTGACTGGTAACACATAAACGGTAAGTATTGTGATGTCAAAGTGTTGTATGGCTGGGGTTTGCAGGTCAATATGAGAAAACATTGTGGAAGAAGGGGTTGGTAAGAGAAATGAGTCACAAAATGAATTGCCAGATTGGTGGCCATCTTGAATTTTTAAAACATGTGAAAACTCAAAATTTCTGTCAAATAAATCCTCAAGGGAGCCGGTTGGGCATTTGGCAGTTTCTGTATGTAGACATAATGTTTCAACAGAAAATGCAAAAAAAGTTCATATAATAAGCATTTCCACCTCTATCGGTTCTACATCAAGACAAATATACTGTAGTTGCATATTATCGCATACGCTCGAATCATTGGTCAGTCAATGTTTTTACAAAGTTGGAGAAAATACTACGCATTGCATACTTAAATGACCTACCTCACTACATTCCATTGACTGACAAATGGTTCGCGCATATGACCACAATCTAAAGTGGTCAAAAGGATTTGATAAAGGTGAATATGGACACAGTGTTTTTAAGATTACCCGTCCGCTCTATAATGTGTCAGATTGATGAATATAATGACTTGATTGGATTTGCCATATACATGTAACTGCTTATGGACACTGCTTTTTAAGATTACCTGTCTGCACTATACACAATGTTTTATGGTTCATATTCCTCTAATGTACATCAGTTCCAGACACAATTTATATTTGTAGGTAATGTACTTAGTTGAAATTATATGCTTGTTATCTTCCTCTAGCTGCTGAGAAGAACATGGAGATGTGGAAAGAGATGATAAAAGGCTCAGAGGTTGGCCAGACATGTGCAGTGAGGGCCAAGATTGACATGCAGTCTGACAATGGCTGTATGAGGGACCCAACTATATACAGGTGTAAACCAGAGGCACATATAAGAACTGGCAACAAGTACAAGTAAGTAAATATACTTCTACTTTAAAGTATTAAAAGTTATAGAAACCATCTTCATGCATTTTATCTCACCCAAGACAGTTTTCAGGGATATAGAGAAATTGTCTGTCCATTCGTTTGTTTGTCAAGGCGATAACTCAAATACTGGTTGATGGATTCATTATTAGGTTAAAATTTTAAAGGCTTATGGCAGTACTGTCAGTAGCCTTGGCAATTTGTGGGTCACATGACCCATTCCTATAGACAAATTGAGTTAAGCTTGAAAAATGTGGGTACAATTATATAAAGTATAGTAATACAGACTGACCATTTTCAAAGGCTATTATAGGCGGCTAGAGAATTATAATGGCTGAAACTAAAATACTGAAATCAGCTGCTAACTTTACCTCTCCAAATGTTTCTTGCAACATCCTCCATTTTCAAAAGTTTCTAAGTTATCACCTGCTTCTGTGTTGATCAGGACTCGCCTTTATCCTAGAGTGGACATTTTCTAGTGAAAATCAAATTGGTGGTTTTGACAAAGGATTGGTATTAAATATGATGAACTGAATTGAACACATGTTTCTCTTAAACCAGCCATCAAAGAATTCTGAAGATTTTACATATTGTCAATTCAATGATCATCTTTTAAACGGTAACAATTTAATTTGAAAAAAGTACATATACTTTTCTTCATGTAGTTTCAGAAAACATATCAGACACTTCTTTTGTTCTTGGTATCACATGTTTACACCAGCCCTATCTGGGCTCATAGGTGTAGAACCTTTGCAATATGGCCACTGAATTCAAAATCGCCACCATTTTTCATAAATGTTATCTTTTATAACTCAAATATTAGTAGACTGATTTGGGTAAAATTTGATATACTGATGCTCTGATATGGAATTTATTTTGTATCAAAATTGGACATTACATGATCTATGGAAAAATCGAACTATATGATCCAATACTCGAACTATATGATTCGAAACTCGCATCATACTATGCGAAATACGCATCATTATATGTGAAACTCGCATCATCGTATGTCATTTTCAATTCATGTTATACCAACAGTTAATTCTCTTACGTAACTTATTTTCATTCACACACGCACTGGTTGTATCAAGTGTCACACAAAGAGTTAGCACTAACTCCAATCACTTTCCAAATATCCAAAAGCAATGTTGAAATGTCACACGGATTGTGTTGAATAGAATGCTGAAAGAATTACACATGGATCAAAGTAAATTTTGAACGAACGTGTCAATTTTACACACGCATTGAGTTCAAACTCGCATAGGATGGTTCCCGCTCGCATAGGCTGTCACAAACAAGTTGCACTTCATATAGGGTGGGAGATTTGAAGTCACGTGATATTAACATCCTGGTTTCTACGATATGGCACGCTCCGTTGAAATGTTATAAAATGTAAATTTTATATTACAAATACATAATTTAGCTTAATTTGGGCACCTTGCTCGTAGTAATCATTATAAAAAGTATACAAATTACTATAGGCCCTAGGCTAGGGAGACGTACAGTGGCCATTTATTGAGAAACTAGATCTTTTTATCTTTTTGCCGCGCTGTGTTATTTCGTTCAGTGCAAAAGTGACGCGAGATTTAGAAAAAAATCGCTAACATCTCTAGAAAGCAATTTATGTTACATCAAGGTGTCTGATCGGTACATCAAGGTGTGTGATCGGCACATCATGGTTTGTGAAGGGAAAAATGTTTGTGCAAGGCACATAAGCATTTGTTCGTGTACCCTGTTCGATGTCATTTTTATTAAACAATGCATACACAAATACACAAACATAGAGTGTGCAAACTCGAACAAACCGTGTAGGAAATCACACGGATTGTGTATGTATTCTGCTAAACGCTATTCTATGTGTTAGAGATATCACATAAATATAAGATGTCCAATATCCTAGATGCGAGTAGAAATAATCTTGATTTACGTCATTAAAAATTCAAAATTCAGTCAAACTGATGTCATATTTGGAAACAACATGTAAAATTACATCTAGAAATATGGTTTCGAAAAGACTTTATCAACTTTGAAAATTTAATTTTCTTTGAAAATGTGACTTCTAGGTCGGGGAGATTCCCCATAGCCCCCATGTTGGAAAATCACAAAAATGGAAATATCTTTTCTTGTGTTAGGCAGATAATATTTTCTTTTACTGGACATATTTTAATTTGTATAACTATCAGATACATAAGGGTAATATGAAAAGTGAACCACTAAAACTGATAAATATTCAAGTTTGAGGGAATTTTGTAATGCCCTGCCATGTTAATTCCCCTGAATCAGCCACCTGGTGGCGAAACTGGTAACTACCTACTCGCATATGAGTAATTTTGATACAGTTTTAACACCATACTCTGATGCTTGGTATGTAAGAGCTCCATTCAAGATTAAGAAGACATTTCAAGAAGTTTGCTGATTTTCAAAATAGCCGCTATTTTTCATGAAAAAGTTTTTGATAACTTATATACCATTTACCAAATTATGATATATAGTCTGAACTATGTAGGCTTAACTTATGGGCAAATGACCTCTGCTCAAGCAGGCATTTTATTTCTATCACCTAATGTCCAAAATGATTAGGTCTTCTTTGGAAATAGATGTTTTTTAAGATGATATTTAAAAGTGCGCTTTATTGGAATGGTTTTTAGTTGATCAGGTAATGTGTCCCTCTCCCATTCAGATATAGAAGAAACTACAGTACCGCGTCTAGTTTTTAGCTCACATGGTGAGCTTTTGTAATCACTCACTTGTCCGTCTGTCTGTCCGTCTGTCCGTCTGTCCGTCCGTCTGTCCGTCTGTCCATCCGTCTGTCCGTTTGTCCGTCCGTCTGTCCGTCAACAATAGTGGCACGTTTTAAAACCTCTGTCGATAGGATTCCTGTTTTAAGTTATTTCTGTTCAACATCAATACAGAAAACCCCCCTATGACTCCTGGTTCAAAAGCTCGCCTATTTTCAAAATGGCCGTCACTTTTGTCTCGCGAAATTCACTTTTAGCCCATTTCCTAGCTAACCTCTGTCGATAGGATTCCTGTTTTAAGTTATTTCTGTTCAACATCAATACAGAAAACCCCCCTATGACTCCTGGTTCAAAAGCTCGGCTATTTTCAAAATGGCCGTCACTTTTGTCTCGCGAAATTCAACTTTTGGCCCATTTCCTAGCTTTACAAATAATTTCAGGTGTCCTACATTGTAAAAATCCATGTCAATGTAAAGATTAGATATATGAAATAATTTTGTTACAAAAAATCAGCGAAAAATTGTATCCATTTTTTTTATTTTCAGCCATTTTAGTTAACATTGATTTGTCTATCTGACTTGCGAAATCCACTTTCTGTCAATAACAGTGGCACGTTTTAAAACCTCTGTCGATAGGATTCCTGTTTTAAGTTATTTCTGTTCAACATCAATTCAGAAAACTCCCCTATGACTCCTGGTTCAAAAGCTCGCCTATTTTCAAAATGGCCGCCATTTTTGTCTCGCGAAATTCACTTTTGACCCATTTCCTAGCTTTACAAATAATTTCAAGTGTCCTACATTGTAAAAATCCATGTCAATGTAAAGAGTAGATGTATGAAATAATTTTTTTACGAAAAATCAGCAAAAAATTATATCCATTTATTTATTTTCAGCCATTTTAGTTAACATTGATTTGTCCATCTGTCTCGCAAAATCCACTTTTGGACCGTTTACCTTAAACCCTCTGTCGATAGGATTCCCAATTTAAGTTAATTTTGTTCAACATCAATACAAAAAACTCTCCTATGACTCTTGGTTCAAAAGCTCGCCTATTTTCAAAAAAGTTGCCATTCTTGTTTCGCGAAATTCACTTTTTGCCCATTTCCTAGCTTTACAAATAATTTCAGCTGTCCTGCATTGTAAAAAGCCATGTCACTGTAAAAGGTAGTTGTATGAAATAATTTTGTTACAAAAAATCGGCAAAATATTATATCCATTTTTTTCATTTTCAGCCATTTTAGTTAACATTGATTTGTCCATCTGTCTCGCGAAATCCTCTTTTGGACCATTTGCTTAAAACCTCTGTCGATAGGATTCCAGTTTCAAGTTATTTTTGTTCAACATCAATACAAAATACTCCCCTGTGACTCCTGGTTCAAAAGCTTGCCTGATTTCAAAATGGTCGACATTTTTGTCTCGCGAAATTCAATTTTGGCCCATTTCCTAGCTTTACAAATAATTTCAGGTGTCTTGCATTGCAAAAAGCCATGTCACTGTAAAGAGTAGTTGTATGAAATAATTTTGTTACAAATTATTAGCAAAAAATTATATCCGTTTTTTTTTCAGCCATTTTAATTGACTGAGAGACAGATGGCTTGAAATAATTTTGTAACAAAAAATCAGCAAAAAATTATATCCGTTTTTTTCTGTTACCATGTGAGCCCAGTACCCACGGTACTAATTTTTTCAGATTGTTTTACGGGTACAATAAAATGGAGCGTTTTTCTTAAGGCTCGCGTTGGCCTCTTGTTTCGGTACGTATTGAAAATATTTGAAATGTATGGAGGGGCATTTCCATAATAAACATCATGCATTAATAACAGTTTCTTTTGTTTTCTTTTTTCCGATAATGGAGCCCAGTTTAGAATTTTCAGAACTTTGTTTGTATTTGTTCCCTTGGTACAGCCGCTAACAATTAAGGCTGCCTTATAGTGAAGCCTGTCCAATTTCAAGAGTTCGTGTTTTGGAGCCGCATCAAATAAAACTGAGCCGTATTCTAAATGGGGTAAAATAAAGGACATATACATAGTTTCAAGGTGTTTGCTTGCAATCTTATATTTTAAACAATTAAATGGATTTAGCATCTTGTCTATTTTGATACGGAGTTGGGTTATGTGTTCGGTGAAAGTCAGAGCATCATCTAAAATTACACCCAGGTGGCAATGTGAATCTTGTCTTGCTATAGTTTCACCATTCATGGTAACTGGCTCAAACTGCCTCTTGAAACGACATCTACTCCTAAATATCAATTCTTTACTTTTAGATGCTTTGAATTTCAACTTCCACAAATCGGACCATTCAGACAACTTATCAAGATCAAATTGTATTTCCCGTTGAGCTTCAGTTAGATCTTTGTCCTTATCAACTTTAAAAAATATAGAACTGTCGTCAGCATATAAGAACATTTTACCATTTCTAATGACTTCCGGTAGATCATTTATATACAAAAGGAAGAATAATGGTCCCCAGATGGATCCCTGGGGTACCCCACTATTAATTGTGCAGATCAGACCCTAATTGACACCATCCATTTGAATTTAGACAGGCAAGCTGAAATAGTGCTTAACAAAACCAGATGTGATTTCATTTTTCGTTACCATAAGTTCCAGAATCAATTCAATAATGTTAATCCTCAATGCTTGTGCAGTTTTCGATCTCAGACAACCCAACACCTATTCTTTTCTTGCCCCCTTTTACTTGATCTCAGGGAACAACTAGCACTCGACCTTGCAGGGATACCAAATTTCAACATTCACCATTATAACAAACTAAATGCAAAAGAGAAACTAGATACATTGTTATATGGTGGCTCAACATATAAAATTGAAACTAACAAGCTTATAGTCACAACATCTGCTAACTTTATTTCTTTAATTGTAGACTATGTCTAAGTTTATATATTTGGTGTGAAATGTCACATGTAACTTACATGTATTGTCATGCTGAGTGTTCAGCAGCCGAAAATTACTTGATTTTTAAGTGCCTACTTAACTCTATTTTAGAAATTGTATAAATGTGTATGTGTTAAAATCGACATGGGTCACTAATGCCAATGGCCTTGGCCCATTGTCGGACATTGTAAAATGATAATATTGATAAATAAAACATAACCTATAAAAAAATAAAATAAAAAAAAATGATTAGGTATTTTCAGGGCTTGTGAACTTGAACTAAAAGATAATCTGAAAAATTAAATCATAGACATATTAGAAAAAAAGATATATTCAGCTGGTTTTGTGCTTCTTACTGTAACATACCATCTTGCTTTATGCTATATGCAAACTGAAGAGCTGATGAAAATCACTTCCTATATGAAATCTTAGGCAGCCCACATGAAATGACCACTGCACTTTTAAATGATCAATTTTGATCAAATCATTTTTCCATGTTTTCTTAAATATGGATTGTATGGAAATATCAATATATAAATTGGCTTGCTGATGACATTTTGCTATGGTCTTCAACTTTTTTGTAAGGGCGTTTGGCATTCAGTTTCTATAACAAATGGCAGGTCGTGAAATTTTGCATGTTAATGCCTTGTTTTCCAATTTTAGTGCTAGGAGACCAATCCTACTGCTGTTTGGAGTACTTGATTGTCTACAAATGTATTGATAAATGTAAAAATATGTTTTAAATTCAGGGTATACCCAACTTATGACTTTGCCTGCCCTATAGTAGACAGTTTAGAGGGAGTAACACATGCCTTGAGGACAACAGAGTATTTAGATAGGGATCCACAATACTACTGGTTTATAGAAGCCCTAGGTAAAGATACACTTTTGTGCACTTTGAAACTCTAGAAGTTTGAATAAGCAAGTCAGAAAATGATTCAGCTTCTTTTAGAATATATATTGGTATGCATTTTTATGCAAATATGTTTCCTTCAAGATAAAGTGTTGTACAGTTAATTTCAAGTCATATCAAAAAGTTTTATATATGAATATATGTCTATATATGTATATAAATGTTTTATGTGTCTCCATATGTTTTTATATGTTTCCAGGTGAACTGTCTGATGGATCAATTTCAGACTTTCAGGGATCAATGTACATGCAAATATTGAATTCATTAATTTTTGGGCATTCTGGATAAATGTTAAAGAAGGGGATCGTCTAGATTCTTGTCCCGGACAACCAGTAATGTCTTAATATAACTGCTCATATAACATCATATATGCCTTAGATATATTTTGAGACCATATCATGAGCACAGTTTTACCAATATATTGAGAAAATCAACAGGACAACCAAAGAACAACCAAATGTCTAGAACACAATAAGTCTAAAACAACATACAATTTTTTTAATTAATTTATATTGTCAAACCCTTTTAAGTTATTAAAATAACATTCCCAAAGGATAAAATTGTGTTGTGATAAAAAAAAGAAATAAAAGATTGCCCAAGCCGGGAATCGAACCCCAACCTTTTTAAAGAAAATGATTCCGTATAGAGAAGCCCAACGCGCTATCCACTACGCCACGCTATCAGTGCCTGTGAGATTGGTCAAATTCAACAACAATAGAAACAATTCAAAAAAGTAATATAAGTGCGCTTCTTTTATTTCAAAATGATCAATATATATGACTGATATTGTTGAAATGTGTGTTTTTTTGGAAGTTTTTTCATCTAATTTAATAAATAACGATGTTTTATTGAGCATCGAACTTCCCGTCGTCAGTCTTGGCAAATACAATCGGTTGCCGGGATATTGAGCCCAGGCAGCCAATCACAGATCGGAGCACATTGAAGCGGGCTATTTCAATTTTAACTCGAACATTTGTCGAATAAAAGTTGATGCAGGATCGAATTATGGCTGAGAACAATCATCAAATTGATACCGTTAACGAATTGTCTGAAGCCCCAACATTGGTAAGTCGATAGAAATACTTGTTTTACATAATATAACACAAAAATACCAGAGTGGTTACTCTAATTGTATTTATAGACAACCCCCTTCCTTTAAGGTTGCCATTTTGGATTTTCTGTCCTAAAATCTTGTCTGTAATCATTTCACGGAAGAGTTGAAGTAACAAATCAAAAATTCAATCAGATATCAATGAAATGGCCAATTGGTCCATGAAATGAAAACTCAAATTTATAGCGTCTAAGAGCAAAGAGGTTATCTTTTAATCCAAGCACATTCGAAAAGTCAAGAAACAAATTCCAGTGTTCTGTGAATAATGAGCAGATACCTCTTGTAGATAGCCATAAACATTTAGGCATTATTTTGGACAAACACCTTAGCTTTGAAGAACATATTATTTCAGTAATTACTAGTTGCAATAAAATGTTGATTCCAAATCAAAAGGCACTCAAATTTTCAGTGAGATCAAAACACTTGCAGACAATTTATATGGCATTCATTCTCCATTCTGATGCTCATAGCATCTTTCTTTTTCACAGTTTTATGACCCCAATAAGATGAAATATGAGCTGGGTGGAAAGATCTCAAAAATCTTCAATTTTCTTGGATTGCCAAATCAAGCTCATTATATCATGGCATCTGTGGGCTGAGAAAAATGAGATGTCATGGTTTATCATGATGTTCATTCTCCCACATCTTAAATACGTATAATATTATTTTTGACAGTGCAAATCTAAACCTCTTAGCAAGTTTTATGTAGAGTGGGTCTTACATGTATAGTTAGTGGATGCATCCAAGGGTCAAACTCTCAGAAGGTCATGACACGTTTTAGATGGAGAACTGTATCTAATCGAAGAAAAAAACAAATTAAAACTGCTATTCCGATTGCCTAATATCCACATTCATTTTATGCATATCCATAATGCCTATTTGACCTATCATCGCCATTTCCCAAGTTCGCTTAGTTTCTGAGAAATTGCTGATTTTGACGTCAAAAAGTCAAATTTTCTGTAAATACAGGGTGTCCAAAAAAAAACAGGACCGTAAGAAAGTTGAATAACTCGGTCAATATTGCATATTTTGCCTTGAAATTTCAGAATTATTTAGTTCATTCAATGTGAATTTTGTTGTGAAAGTTTGATAATAATCTACCAATTGAGTCACAAACTACAGCTCCTTACAAAACATGCCCCAAATGTGCAAATCTCATCTCTATGCACAATTCAATCCGGTGAACAAAGCTGTTGATGATCCTCCTACACACATGTCTTTCTGAATGGACAAGTTTGTTCCAAGAACAATTGCTACTGGGGCTTACATCCCCCTGATGAAGTGTTAATGCATCCATTGCATTCTGAACAATGCACTCCCTGGGTGGCAATGAGGAAACATGGAATCATCAGTCCCTTTTGGTTCGAAGGTGACTGGGGACTTGCTATCACCATGAACAAGGACCAGTAAGTTCTCACCAAGTTTTGGAGGTCACTAAGCACCAGAAGGGACATCTAAGGAGATAATTAAGCAGTGGTTTTAACAAGCCAATACCACCCCAACACTGCAAATGATATGCTGAAATGGTTTAGGCAATGCTTTGGTGGTCAGCTCATCAGTTGCAGAACGCAAACCATATGGGCAGCTCATTCGCCTGATCTAAATCCCCAAATTTTTATCTTTGAGGATTTCTCAAAGCCAATGTGTATACTGACAGGTCCCTAACAATCTTAAGAGGGCAATAACTACCCCAATATTTACGTAAGGGTAATTAACAACTTTGTTCGCAGGATTCGTTTGTGCATAGAGAGGAGAAGTGCCCACTTTGAGCATGTTTTGTAAGGACTGTAGTTTTTGACACAATAAACAGATTATCATCAAACTTTCAGAACAAAATTCACATTGAATGAACTAAATAATTCTCAAATTTCAAGGCAAAATATGCAAAATTGACCGAGTTATTCAACTTTCTTACGGTCCTGTTTTTTTTTGGACACCCTGTACTAGACACTTTGTTGAAGTTGAACTTTCAAATAACTTGAAGTACATGTAGTTGCTGTATATGGAACTTATGTTCTCTGAAGATCTCAAAGCTTTGAAATTTCAGTTTTTGGTGTTTACTCTATAAAATTTGACAAAAAGTAGGACTGTCATTTTCAGGGAACTTTCTCATGTATAAAGTCAGTCATCATTGGCTGCACAAATTAAAACTGCTATTTGTATTGAGTCATATTCACATTCATTTTATGCATATCCATAATGCCTGTCTGACCTTTCGACTTGCTTCAATTTGACCAAATTTTTTGGGGAAAAAAGTTGCCAGGAGTTCAAATCTGACCTTATATTAGATTTGAGATTTGACCTTCAGTGACCTTCAAAAGGTAAAAAAGTTGATTTTTATCGTACCTAATAAAAGGTACGATATTGTAGTCAGCTTGACGGGCGGGCGGCGGGCGGGCAGCGTCTCACTTTTCAGCTTGTCTACAGGTTTCCAGCCAAACCATTTGAGGGATTCATCTGAACTTTTCAGGGATGTTTCTACATATCAACGTCAAGAACTGATTAGTTTTTGGGCATTCTGGGTAAATCTTAAGGTGGCCATTTTGGATTTTCCGTCCTAAAATCTTCACTTTCAAGACTTATCTACAGGTTTCCAGCCAAACCATTTGAGGGATTCATCTGAAATTTTCAGGGATGTTTCTACATATCAACATCAAGAACTGATTAGTTTTTGGGCATTCTGGGTAAATCTTAAGGTGGCCATTTTGGATTTTCTGTCCTAAAATCTTTACTTTCAAGACTTGTCTACAGGTTTCCAGCCAAACCATTTGAGGGATTCATCTGAAATTTTCAGGGATGTTTCTACATATCAACGTCAAGAACTGATTAGTTTTTGGGCATTCTGGGTAAATCTTAAGGTGGCCATTTTGGATTTTTTGTCCTAAAATCTTCACTTTCAAGACTTGTCTACAGGTTTCCAGCCAAACCATTTGGGGGATTCATCTGAAATTTTCAGGGATGTTTCTACATATCAACGTCAAGAACTGATTAGTTTTTGGGCATTCTGGGTAAATCTTAAGGTGGCCATTTTGGATTTTCCGTCCTAAAATCTTCACTTTCAAGACTTGTCTACAGGTTTCCAGCCAAACCATTTGAGGGAATCATCTGAAATTTTCAGGGATGTTTATACATATTATGTCAAGAACTGATTAGTTTTTGGGCATTCTGGGTAAATCTTAAGGTGGCCATTTTGGATTTTCCGTCCTAAAATCTTCACTTTCAAGACTTGTTTACAGGTTTCCAGCCAAACCATTTGAGGGATTCATCTGAAATTTTCAGGGATGTTTCTACATTTCAACGTCAAGAACTGATTAGTTTTTGGGCATTCTGGGTAAATTTTAAGGTGGCCATTTTGGATTTTCCGTCCTAAAATCTTCACTTTCAAGACTTGTCTACAGGTTTCCAGCCAAACCATTTGAGGGATTCATCTGAAATTTTCAGGGATGTTTCTACATATCAACGTCAAGAACTGATTAGTTTTTGGGCATTCTGGGTTAATCTTAAGGTGGCCATTTTGGATTTTCCGTCCTAAAATCTTCACTTTCAAGACTTGTCTACAGGTTTCCAGCCAAACCGTTCAAATTTTTATATATGTTACACAGTGATAAGTTCTAGAGCTGATTAACTTTTCTGCGGCCATCTTGCTTTCTTGGTCAACAAGACCACAATGCTGTGTTTTTGGTACGATATTGTTCACGTCTGTGCCTTGTTCAAATTGATTATTAGGATATAAATTTTGGTCACCTTAATCTCAAAAGACCTACTGAGCTCTGAATAAGTAAAATGTTCAAGGTCAAAGGTCCTCAAACTAGGTCACAAACTGTCAGGGTTTGTACACACCTGGAAATGT